GAGACAACTGGGTTATTTCCCACATCTGCCTCTCATTCTTCAAAGTTGTTGGAAGCAGTATCAACACATCCCTGTGTGCTTATTCCTTTGCAAGTGCTTAGAGAGAATTAATGGGCTCCAAGGGGAGCTACTGTAGTGCTGTGATGACTTTTTCGAGTGGTGAGGACAACCAGACTGAAAGAAGAAATGTCGAATATCTGAAAATTCAAACATTACAGTGACAGGCTCACATGGGAATGAAGGTTGGTGTTTATATTGTATAATTCTATTCTGGGAAAGAATAAATTCATATTTCTAAATAACAACAGTAGCTCATAATAGCATTTGTTGTATTATTATATCCTGGCAACTATTCTAAGGCCTTTTCATGGATTCACCAATTTAATGACATATAAGAAAAGTACAATTAATATCAATATTTATACAGGAGAAAACTGAGGCTGAGAGCAGTTAAGTAACTTGTCTGAGGCCAAACAATTTGTAGACATTTCAGGAATCATTGTATGGAAGTCTTAACTGCTATGCTTCCTCTCAAACACTAAAATTTTTCACTAATTTAGAATGAAACATTTCTTCACTAAATGCATTTGAAGAGTCAGCTTCACTCACTATGAATATAAATTGGAATAAATTCCAGAGTCATAAACATTAAAACATGCTATCAAATCATATACTTATTCTAGAAAAAGAAATTCAATGGACTTGGAGCAGATTCACAGAAGTACAGAACTGGGAGAACATGTGTCCACCCTCTATTTTAATGATGAAGAAATTGATTCTAGAAGAGGTTGAGTTAATTCGCCTAAGGTTATATAGGCAAATAAAAGCAGAGCAAGACAAATAACACAGATATTCACATTTCCAGACAAGGGACTATGCTCCCACACCACAGTTCAGAATCTTACGTCCTCTACTTCCTCTAACTAATTTATTGCCCGAGTAGGCAGATGTAGTACACACCTTCAAAATAAATTATTGAATTACTAGAGGCCCAGTGCACGAATTCGTGCATGGGTGGGGACCTGGAGGCAGCCTTTTATTATATAGGATTAACAGACAACCATCTGCCTTGGCTACTCTAGTGAGCATACTCTGAAGAGTCATTGAAGTAGTTTGCTGCTTAAAGTTAACAATTTGTTAAATGCAAACAAATGTAAAATAAGAGCAAACTTCCATTCCTTAAAAACTTTCAAAGAGAATGTTACCACACAAACATGACATTTGCCATATCAAGATCAAGTATGCCAACCAGTTTATGATGTAATGTCAAGCTAGATTTAAGGTGACAAATAACTAATATTCCACTCTAAGTAATAACTTAGCCCAAAAAGAGTACACTGGTTTCTTTTTTTAATATTTAAGATAAAATATATTTTTGTGTCATTTGATATGTGAGCAGTTTTACATCATTGTCCCCAAGTTTTACTTAAGTATAATGAACAAATAAAAACTGGCTGTATTTGAGCTGTACTACTTGATGTTTAGATACATGTGTACACTGTGAAATAATCACTGCAATCAAGCTAATTAATATAGTCACTACCTCACATAGTTACCATTCTTTTATTTTTTTATGGTGAGAACACTTACAATCTACCCTCTTAGCAAATTTCAAGTATATACTACATTATCATTAACTATACCACATTACTGTACATTATATCTCCAGAATCTATTCACAGTAAATAACTAAAAATTTGTACCTTTTGGCCAACATCTTTCTACCCAACAGCAGAAAAATACACATTCTTACCAAGAGCATATGAAACATTTTCAGAACAGCTTACATGTTAGGTCACAAAACAAGTCTTAAATTTAAGAAAATAGAAATAATTCCAAGTATCTTTTCTGTCCACAATGGAATGAAACTATAAATCAGTAATAGTAAGAAAACAGAAAAATGTATAAGTATATGAAAACTAAACAAAACACTTTTTAATAATGATTGGGTTAAAAAAGAAATCACATGAAAAAATTTTAAAGTATCTCAAGACAGATAAAAATGAAAACACGACATCAAAATTAGGGAATGCAACAAAAGCAATAATAAGAGGAAAGTTTATAGTGATAAATGCTGACATTTAAAAAAAAGATATTAAATAAACAAAATTTTACACCTCAAGAAACTAGAGAAAGAACAAGTCCCCACTAAACCCCCATATTAACGATCAATGTAAGAGAAACCAAGACAGCAAAAGGAGACAAACTGTCAAAAGTTAGAAAGAGTAGAGTTCAGTTTGGTTCCATAGCATTTATTGAGTGCTTATAGGCATGCTATGCATTGTGCCAAGAGACTATTTTTTGAGGTTTTCACACTATATGGGGTATAGACAGATATAGTTTCAGTACAATGTGGTCATCTCAGTGACAGACACATGCTCAATGGACAACAGAACCATGGAATGAGGCACTGAGTACAGCCAAAGACTGTGAGAGGAACCTCTGGAGAGATAACATATAAGCAGAGTCTTCAAGGTTAGTAGGAATTAACAGATATGAAAAAATCAGGGGGAAAGTCATGTCAGGCAAAAGATACAGCATGAACAACAGAAAAGGGTATGGAGCACAAGAGTGGAGAGAGAATTACCTGCAAGGAACTGTCAGGGTGATGCCAATGAGAGGAAAATAAAATCAAATCAAAGAGGCCCTTTGACTTATGAAGTCACTGTTGGCTTCTGCTACAGCAGCTTCTATGAAGTGATGTGGACAGAACTTGGACTCCCATGGAATGAAGAATATGTTCAGACAGTGTGGGTAGAGTTTTTTTTCAAGGATCTTAGTGCAGAAGAAAATAAAGTAGGCAAGCTAGAAGTGGGACATTGTCTAAAAGGCTTAGTTTTGTGATTACAGAGAATTTGGTATGTTTACAAGTCATAGGAAAAACACCATAAGTGAAGGGAAAAGTTTTTAAAATGTAGCTTACTTCATTCACTCTTCTGCAAAATCAAGTATTTATAGAGCATCTACACTGTTCTTGAGCACATCATTCTAGATAAAGACAAACAACCAAGACCCTTTTAGAGATGGTTTAATGGGTCAAAATCTGACTTAATATCCCAACCATTTAGAGAGAAAACCAGCCAGGTAAAAATGAAGGAACAATGATATCTACAAATGGTGACTGGAAGAATTCCACAAATATAGAGAATAGCCTCTAATTTTTTTCAGAATCATTGCATTGCAGGATTTGAAGGTTGACATGATCTAATACTATTATCCACATCCCACGTATAAAATTCCCTTCTCCACATTCCTCGTCTGATATTGAGAGACTTTATATAAAAGAGAACCTTTTATTTAAGAAGTTGACTATTCTACTACTAGACAATTGATTTTATGTCTAATTATCCCCAAAATATTGGCCCTGTAACTCTGAATTACTACACTACTTCCATTATATATAGCAATTCTTTAAATATCAAAAGATACTGAACATATATATATATATATAGAGAGAGAGTAAATATATTTCAAACCGACCTTTCATGATTCCTTCATTTCTTTCTCAAATGACGTTATTTTCATCCCAGTCCCCATCTTCTAGATGCCTTTTTGTTTGTTTTGTTTTGTTTTGTTAATCCTCACCCAAGAATATTTTTTCCATTGATTTTTTTTTTTTTTGAGAGAAAGAGAGAGTGGAAGGGAGGGGGAACGGAGAGAGACAGAGATTGATGTGAGAGAGACACATCGATTGGTTGCCTCCTGCACACACCCCACAGGTGATCAAATCTGCAACCAGGTATGTGCCCTTGACAAGGACTTGAACCCGTGTCTCTTCCATACTTCAGCTGATGCTCTAATCACTGAACTACTCTGGCTAGGGCTCCAGATGCTTTCTAATAAGTTAATTATTTTTTCTCCTCCCCATTAACCTGAACACAAGTTTCCAAATGTGAAAGAATTAAATAAGATCATCACATTATATACTAGCATGGCATTTTTTAAAGCAATACTACCAAATGCTTTTGTTTGAATTATGGACAATTATATTGCACAGGCACTTAACCACATAAACTGCAACCAACTCAAGTTTCCCATACCTCATCTCTGCAATTATTTTTAATATAAAAATAAAATAGCTGAAACCGGTTTGGCTCAGTGGATAGAGCATCGGCCTGCGGACTGAAAGATCCCAGGTTCGATTCCAGTCAAGGGCATGTACCTGGGTTGCGGGCACATCCCCAGTAGGAGATGTGCAGGAGGCAGCTGATCGATGTTTCTCTCTCTCATCGATGTTTCTAACTCTCTATCTCTCTCCCTTCCTCTCTGTAAAAAATCAATAAAATATATATAAAAAAATAAAAAAAATAAAAATAAAAATAAAGATTTACATATTTTCCTATTTTGTGCTTTTTGTACCAAAAGTCCAATTTCACTTTCAACACTGATTTAGTAAACTACCATTTTGCTATTCCTCTAAATTCTGGCCTCCTACAACTCTGAATATGTGTTTTAAGTATTCATAAAAGGCATAGATAAAATCAAACATAATGAGCATATGAGCAAAATCAAAATTTTCTAGTATACACACAGAAATCTATTCCTGGGTGACATTAATCCATGCAACAGAATCTTAAAGCAAAAATTTATTTAGCTATAAATCTGGTCAGCCTATGGTTTTCTTCCATGTTTGTGTATCCATCATCAGAAACCAGTGAAAACATCTGCCTAAAATCAAGACATCATACATTTGGAAACCCATTAATCCTATAAGAACAAAAAGGTGAATCTTTGTTGCTTGCTTAATGATAACTATTTTCTTTACTAAGATTCTAAGATCGGTATTAATATAATCTTTTCTAGAAATCTATTAGTGATAGACATCAAGTTTTTAGTGTATGTTTTTCAGAATATAATTTTTATGGCATTGTTCCACAAATAAAGATATAAAAATGTCCCCTGTCCCAATTCTAATGTTTCTACTCTTACATAGAACTACATGCCAAAATGGTTCCATAAAATAACACTATGCATATGTTGCATTAATTTCATTTTATTACCTCATATAAAACTGTTGTGTTCCCATGAAGAAGAGGTCCATAACAGATATAGGAATGTCCAACAACCCAGCCTAAGTCAGAAGCTGCCCACCACACCTAAAAACAAAAACCATAATGAAACACATGTATCTTAATCAGAGAAATGTCATGTAAAGTGAATTGACATCCATGATTACCTCTCCAGGTTGAAGTCCATAGATAGAAGACATTGTCCAGTTTAGCATTACAGCGTACCCCCCAGTGGGCCTAACCACACCCTAAATGAGAGAAAAAATAAAACTAAAATTAATAATGTGTTAAAAGAGTCTCTGTCTTCCTAGGATCTACCTAAAAAAAGTTTCTGTTTAAAGTATTTCATCTTTCATAAGCTACAATTCACTTTGACTTTTACATAATTGTATCTGAGTCATTACTTCTTTGGCTCCTCCAATAATAAGCACAGGATAAATTGTCCACATCAGTTCAATTGCACAATCCATTCTCACACATCATTCTTGACCTTCTAAAGAAAAACTTATGATTTCACAGAATCACATGCAATAAAAAATGTATTCTAGTGGTAACATAAATTAACAACATTACATTTTCAGATATATTTCCAGAACAAAAATGGAAACTCAAAATTAAGTGCACAGAAAGACCAAAGGTAGCTGTGTGTCTAGAATAAAGACTATAATAGGATGTCTAGCCCCTAATTATTAAATTTTAGTATGCTTAGAAGAAAAAAAAGACATATTCTAACCAGAGCCTCATTACAATGCTGAACTGGGGATCATGCTAGCCCAGTACTGAGCTGAGCAATTCTTTAGTGATGAATTCTGAAACTCTGAGGAATCAACCCTGGTGGGTTGGATCTAAGGCTGACAGATTTGCCTTATATTACATTTTGGGCAACAGGAGGGATTGAACCAGTTTCTAGCAGCTATTCACAACACTGAACATACGCAACTTCTATACAGAGTCATACTTGAAAACTGAGCAAAGTCTCATGATAAATAAGAACTCATGGTAAATTTAATAATTAATTTTGTTTATTCCTTCACTATAAAGATTAATCATCATTGGCTCAAAAAAAAGACCTGATATTAATATTTAGAGCAGGAAGTTGAATGCTTGCTAAGAAATATTCAACATTTCACTCAAATGCATTATGAAGCATTTTTAGTAGAGCAATAATAATTACTCTGTGCAGAAAATAATTATTTTACCCAAAGGGCACATGTGGTCCTAGCGTACCTAATTGCACCTCTCTGGCATAGTTCTGCGACTGTAACACACATACATAAATGAGTGGAATACAAAAGGAATTGACTTTCTGTCAGTTACTAAAATTTCTGCTCTCCTCGGGTACCACTAATAAAACATAGGTACCAAGCTGTGGAACACATTTTATCTACCAGCAGCAACACCTGGTCTCTTAGCAAATATCACTTTGTTGACATTTGACAGCTACTTTTGGCGTTGTATGCCATAGTTAGCATGCAGCTGGCTCTCTTGATCACCTTGGGAGAATGAGAAATCCTAAGCCTCTCCCCATGTAAACTGTGCAGCTCTTTCCCCAATTTATTCTGTATTATCTTTCATGTATTTTGCTAATTCCTTTGTCCTACTGAGAAGGTCGTTTCCTCTGGTTTACTAGCTTGATGAATTTGAAGGTAATCAACTTGCAAATGCTCTTTTCTAAAAATCTGTATTCATTTTGTGGAGAAAAAAGTGAACTTTTTCATAGAAAATATATTATCCATACATTACAGTAGACAGTGATAATGTCAGTAATGATTTCACTCAAAATGTTTTGGAATTTTCTCTACACCTCCTGTCTCTGCATTCAGAGCTCATTTTTATCAATAACTATAAATATTATAATGGGTCAAATTTTAGATTATGTAATACAGAGGGTAAGGTAAATCAACCGGAAGTGATAAAAAGGAATTAAAGGCTTGGGATGACATAAATAAGTAGCAATTCATTTGGGAAGTTGAGAAGATAACTTAAAGGATAGGTTACAAAATTTCTATTTCTCTCTCAAGTGATTACTTTTTAAAGTATATTTACCAATGCTGCTCTGCCTGTAAGATGGTAGATATTTAATTCATTTGACCCCAAAAAAGTGAGGCTTAAAAATGAGATCATGCATGGTAAAGCATTTAAAATTGTAAAAGCAAAAATTTTAAATCATAAAAGCTAAAATTTAAAATCTTATTAACAAAATTATTTCCTTAGTTCTAGCAATTATTGATTTTTATTTCTCCCTGTGCTAATCCCACCCAAAAGGCAGAAATGTCAAAATAATTAGATTACCTTCAAAGGTTCTCATTAAAAAACAATTAAAATGGAGCTAAAGGAAAGAGAAAACCCATATTTGTTTTTTATTGGTCTTTGATATCCACTTATTTTTATTTTGTTAAAGGATGAGTGAAATAATTTCCATCAAGCATCACTTTGCCATTCATTAATTTAGACTTTAGATCTGAAATTTGGTATTGCCTCCAAAATATTCAGATAATAGTTTGCAATTTTCTAAGTATTTAATATGGTGCAGAAAAAAGAACTGCATCATTTCATATTCTCCATGTAGATCTTTTACAAGACGTTTGAAAGTTAAAAAAATTAAAAGATTATGTTAAAAAAGAGTTCATTATAATGTTGCTATTAACATGTGACTAAAAAGAAAGTATTTTTTATTTCTTGTTTATAATCCTACTTTCCAGGTAATGATAATTAAAATGCAAAAGAGAAATCTTGTTGAGCCTTTGAAAACACGTAAATTATGTTTTTAAAAAATCATCATATCCTAAGTACACCAAATTGATCAAAAACTAAAAATGGAATCTGAACATATATTTGAAACCTGAGTATGAGGTAAAAATACTTATTTAATACCAATGCTTAACCCTGAAACATAAGCACACTGCATTTTACCCTTTTGAGTCTCTGTTATTACTTTTTTATGTACTTACACTCTATATTCCTTAAAAGTAAAGACAGTAGATGACCTAATATATTCTCAGAAAAGCTCTGTAACCTGCCAATGTACTGCTCTGTTTTCTGTGGAATTGGCCATTATATTTAGTCTTCTGCAGAACTTGAAAGACAGCCAGGTGGGAATAACACTCCATTCCACAAATAAAGACATAAAAATGAATTCTACCTCAGAAACAGGAAAGGAAACAATGAGAATGTGCTCTTTAAAAAAAGAAAAGAAAAGAGCACAAAATCATAAAACCCACTTTCAATAGAAGGGCATTTTTAAAAATTCAATCTGTACAAATAAAATGAAAGGCTAACCATTAATTACCCAGGAATGGGACCAGAGAATTGTCACAGATGGCTCCGTGCGATGCCCAGCTTAATGAGCTGTCTTTGAGGACAAGGACAGCCACAAAACATCATAAATAGGACCGATAAAGTAACACAGAAACCAGGTAAATATCAAGTGTTATGCAGTTTTGGTTGTTGCAAGTTAAAATAGTTAGAACAATATGGGTTGTTGCAGAAGAGGAAGGGAGACTGAGGTGTTTGATAAGAATAAGAGCTTGAAATTCTTCATCCTAAACATGTTTTTATTTTTATTTTTTTAAATATATTTTATTGATTTTTTACAGAGAGGAAGGGAGAGAGATAGAGAGTTAGAAACATCGATGAGAGAGAAACATCGATCAGCTGCCTCCTGCACATCTCCCACTGGGGATATGCCCGCAACCCAGGTACATGCCCTTGACCGGAATCGAACCCGGGACCCTTGAGTCCGCAGGCCGATGCTCTATCCACTGAGCCAAACCGGTTTCGGCAACATGTTTTTAAATTGATCTATAAAAATAAGAGGAAAATCTCCAAATACTCAGGTAAGAGAATTCTGGAATATGTGACAAAACTTTGCTTCCTAAATTGAGACCCTCTGTCACCCAACTCTGTGATAAAGGCTTATACAAGGAAAATGGACATGTTTACACACATGAGATATATATATTTATTCACACACATATATATGTAAATGTGTGTATCTATCTATACGTATTGTGTGTTTGCATGTTTTACTTATGCATGTTTATATCCATTTCATATATATTAATTTCAGCCTGACAAGTTGGAAAAAAAATAAAGCAAGAAGAAAGAAGAAATATTTTGCCTGAAGAAAGAAAACCCATCACTAAGCAATGGTTGAAGTCAGAAAATTGAGAAGAAAAAAGGTATGGTTCTGATAACTTAAAAAAACCCAACACATCAACATTATTATTTTCTTATAATGGCTAGGCAGATGATATTCCCTCTTCCTAGAGTAAGTCCCCACCCCCACCCCTCTTCTGAACTTGGTTAGCTCCTAGTTCATCACACAAGCCCTTAAAGCCCTCGCAAAAGTGCTGCCACCTCTGCTGGACGTTGCCCAGGATCCCACAGTAACCGCGTCCCATCCTCTTCCAGGGCCCCAGGGCCTGCACACCTCCTCCGAGCACTGACAGCCCGACCTGCGCTGGGTCTCCCCCAGGCTGGTGCTGTGAGGTGAAGCCTTTGTCTTTCAGCACAGTCTGGCATAGAATAGCACTTCAATACATTTGTCCACAGATTAAATGACTGAACGTTAATTGAATGAGCACATGTATGAAAAATCTTCTTAAAAATACTCTTCTTGGATCAGGGGAAACCTTTGAAACTTGTAGAACTTAGTGAAGCATATCAGTAGAAATGGAATGGTTCCATTTAGGATATTCCATCAAACATAAAATCTCTTGCTACAAGCTCTGATGCTGCCTCTATGAGCAGTAGACATTTTTGTTGATCTGAACAACTGTGAGGTAATGGGCAACGAACGGTGTAACAAGTCCAGCATTTTAACTACAAGAACTGTAACACAGATAACAAACTTCACTGCTTTTATATTTGACTTTTTAATTTTTTTTTTTTGGGGGGGGTAGGGAATATGAATAAGTCCCTTAAGGTGCAGGAATAAAGTGACATAAGCTGTGTAAATGCACATCAGGACGAAAGCCCTTATCTACACCTTCCTGGCATGCCTTCCTTTCAAGCTTCTCCTTTTGGTTTCTTTTCCCCTGTTCTCCTTTGGCACTGAACTTATTTTTCACTTTTTTTTTTTTTTTTTGCGGGGGGAGGTAGTGTATAGAATAGGTTTCACTATCCCTCTGTGATATCAAGCAAAAAGAAGATAAATATGACTGTCACTAAATCTCTCACTTCCCAAAAGGCACCCCATCCAGATGAGGAATTCTTCTATCATGAAGCTCTTTGAAGTATCTTGAATGCTGGCAACCTAACCAAACAAAATAGAGGCCCACAAGACTGAGATGTATGCAAAGCAGCTCCGCTGTGGCTGCCGGAATATTCACAGCAGCTAACAGATTAACCTGTCATAGAGCAACCTGACAAATCCAGGGCTGGCAGATGCAGAGATGCAAATATGCCCTAAATATAACTGCAAATTCTAACCAAAGAACAGACTGTCTTATGTGTATCTTATATGTGCCTAGGAGAAATGAGCATTTTTAAGCAGAATATTTTTATGGGCTAACATTATTTTTCCTTGTGAAGATTAAAGATTGAGAAATCAAACTAAATGATGACATAAAACTTATATCTAAATGCTGCATAATGAATGTGGGCCCATCTCTCCTGTACTTCTATTGAGAACCCAAAAAATTTTCAGATCCCATTAATCCTGATTATACATACCAAAAATGAAGTGAGAATCTTAAGAAGAAAAAGGATGCTGGAAGCTAACTGCAGGAGTAAGAGATCATTTAAGAAATGATTTTTTTTTTTTTGCCCTAACCAGTTTGGCTCAGTGGATAGAGCGTCAGCCTGCAGACTCAAGAGTCCCAGGTTCGATTCCAGTCAAGGGCATGTACCTTGGTTGAGGGCACATCCCCAGTAGGGAGTGTGCAGGAGGCAGCTGATCGATGTTTCTCTCTCATCGATGTTTCTGACTCTCTATCCCTCTCCCTTCCTCTCTGTAAAAAATCAATAAAATATAAAAAAAACTTTATAAAAACAAGAAATGATTATTTTTATTGATTAAGGCATTACATATGTGTCCTTACCCCCTCATTGCCCCCCACACCCCTACTCATGCCCTCACCGCCCTGTTGTCTGTGTCCATTGGTTAGGCTTATATGCATGCATACAAGTCCTTTGGTTGATTTCTCACCCTTAACCCCACCCTCCCCTATCTTCCCTCCGAGGTTTGACAGTCTGATCAATGCTTCTCTGTCTCTGGATCTGTTTTTGTTCATCAGTTTATGTTGTTCATTATATTCCATAAATGATCAAGATCATGTGATATTTATCTTTAAGAAATGATTTTTTGGCAATGTATAATCTCAAGGCATTTGAAATTCTAAAGTTCATTAAAGAGATGAGAGAAGTATTTCTGAGTGATCTTGAGAGATGATTATTTTCTCTTGCCATCCTACACATCCGACTTTCCAAAATCGACCCACTCCCATGATGTAAACACCAGGCTTCATACTGGTGGCCCACAAGGGTCTACCTACAAACTCAGATGCATTTCTTAGACTCAGATCTTCACCTCCAACTATTGACTAGGCATCTTCATGTTAAAAATGACACATCACACTCACTATGTTAAAAAACAACAACAAAAAACACTCTCCGGCCCTAATCCATCCTCCTGTGTTTCTAGATCAGGAAATGTTCAAAAGTTATCCCATGTTCTCAGGTTCAAAGTCTTGGACTCCTCCTCTGCACCAGTCCTATCCTGGAACCAAATTTGATCCCTCCTTATTAAGTGAGCTGTCCTAAGTAAAGTCCTAAAGTTTAGGACCTAATCTAATAAAACAACCTGGAATTTCCTTGCCTCTGTTGTTTATATGTGCTTATATTTCCAATAAAATGTTGCAAGGATTACCTTCCTTCATGTTTTTTCTCCTGCTTAAAAAATATTAGTGCTCTCCATTCCTTACATACAGAATATGAACCTAAACTTCTTACTTAGGGTGCTTGGCTCTCACCTATATATCTAGCCATTTCTTCTTCCCTTGCACTGCTGGCACTATCCATCCTGAAAGCTCCCTTACACACTCCTGCCTTTGCTTATGCTGGTCCACTCTGCCTGGGATGCCCTCCTCGCTGTGATGTCACTCTCTGAAGTCCTATTCATCCTTCCAGTGTCACCTCATCAAGAGCTTTCTCTGATAGAAATGCACTCCCACTTCTTCCATCACTCTGGCCCCTTACCCCACTTTATGTTTCTTCATAACACTTATATTGCAGAGCTTTGTTTAGCGCCTGTGTCCCAGTTAGAGAATATAAACTTCTAAAAAGAGAGTCAAACACCTATGTGTGTGTTCAATAATATTTGATGAATAAATTGAATGTAATCTTTCAGATACCATTGAATTTCATCTTTTATTGGAAAGAAACAGCATTGTCCTCTCAGAGCAAGAGCACCATTCAGCTCTGGCTGAGTAGCTCAGTTGGTTAGAGTATCGTCCCAATATGCCCAGGTGGTGAGTTTGATCCCTGGTGAGGGCACATACAAGAATTAACGAATCCTATATAATAACAGGCTAATATGCAAATTGACTGAACGGTGGAACGACCAGTTGCTATTATGCACACTGACCACCAGGGGGCAGGTGCTCAATGCAGGAGCTGTCCCCTGGTGGTCAGTGCCCTTCTACTGGGGAAGCGCTGCTTAGCCAGAAGGCTCATGGCTGGTGAGCTCAGCTGCAGTGGCAGGAGCTTCTCCCTCTTCTGCAGCAGCGCTAAGGATGTCCAACTGACAACTTAGGCTGTCATTCGGACATCCCCCGAGGGTTCCCAGACTGCCAAAGGGTGCAGGCTGGGCTGAGGTACCCCGCCCCCCCCACTCCCCAGTGCAAGAATTTCGTGCACTGGGCCTCTAGTGAATGTATAAATAAGTGGAATAACAAATTGATGTTTCTCTCTCTCTCACTCCCTCTTTCTCTAAAAAAATAAATGTATTTCTTTTAAAAAAATACAGTTTATCTTGCATTATCTGTGTGTATATATATTTTTTAACCCCATTAGACTGAAAGGACTGTGGTTTACTCATATTTTTATCTCTTTGAGTCCAGAATGAAAACTCAATGAATGTATATTGAATTGAGTTAAATTCAATGTGACTAAAGATCACCAAACAACTAAAGCCTTTGCTAATCACTGAAACAGATTATCTTCATTATGGCACAATAGGATAAATGAGAATAATTAGAACTTCAAATGATTTTCAGTTTGAGCATCTAGAAATCTAGAAGAGAAATTCTTGACCCAGAGCTACCACGTGTTATGTAATGCTCTCTATATTGTTTTCCTTTCTTTCTAATACACTGGCTGAGTCCATTTTGAGTTTCTAAGTTCTTCTTGGGATCCTCCCACAAAGATCCCCATGCAGGCCACAGTGAGTTTCAGAGTAATTTAAAATAGTGAGGTGATACAAATGCTCTTATAAGATTTCTTCAGGCTTTTATTTTATTTATTTTTAAAAATATGTTCCTGTTGTTTCAGAGAGAGGAAAGTAGAAGGAGAGAGAGTGTTAGAAACATCAATGATAAGAGAGAATCATCCATTGGCTGCCTCCTGCACACACCCTCCTGTGGCTTTTAAGGAGCTAAAATGACTTTCTGTTTATTTTTATTTTGTTTTTGGTTAGGTTTTCAAGGTCAGGGGGTTCCTTTTATGTTGAAAATTTTATATTAGATTAAAACTTGCCTTTGTTTTACAGCCAAGCGTTCAGTTGGACTCTATGTGACTGGCACATAATGTAAAATTGCAAAAAGTGGAGGGTAAGGATTTGGTCCAGCAGATCACTTGAACAAGCCTTAAGAGTCTTCAGTATAACAAATATTTATTTTTCTAATGACCAAAGTTGTTTTTCAAAAGAATGCTAAGGCTTTGATTCTACAATGACACAAATAACTTTATGTGTATGCCTTTATTTATTTATTTATTTATTTATTTATTTATGCACTCAACAGACATTTATAAGCACCAACTACACACAAAGCACACAATGATAGACTAAAATGTCATAAAACATGGTCTCTCTCCTCAGCAAGATTATATTCCCCTACCAACTGTTATCTTATTCACAGCAAGTGAGTTTATATGGAACATCTTAATTTCCCTTTTTTAAGATTAAAAGCCATTTATGTTTTTATAACTCTGATGCTATAGAGAACTAATATTAACCAGAAGGCCACTGTATTCTCAGATATGAGCGATTGTGAACGTCCCTTACCCCACTAAAATTCTATGACTCAATGAATGTTGAACCCTCTAATAAAGATGAATAGAAAGATGATATTGCAAGCTGTTATGAGATTGTATAAAGAAACAGTATTGTTTGGCAATACTAGGCAGAAGTGGAATTTGTTATCTGACATCTTCATAAATATTGATGCTTTTAACTTTGTTTTGTGAAGACACCTTTCACAGTAAGCAGATTTAAAAATTCTGAGTGTCTTCAGTACTAAAAATCAAAGGGTTCAATACTCAGGATAAATTGCGTGTTGTTCAAACTCTCTAGACCAATTCTTGCACTTGTATTTATAACAAAGAATTACACTCCCTTAGTTCAAAAATCAATCCCATACTGTATAAAAGTTATACCTAAATTTAAAAAATAGTTCACTTAAACTATATTTTTATAAAATTCTATTAAACCAATTGATATTCAGTCAAACCCCTATTAATATTAATAGCTTAAGCAATTGTATATTGCTGATATAAGTGAAGAGTTTGGAAAAAATTGGGACAGAATCCTTGACCTTAAATATAATTCATACTAGAGGCCCAGTGCACTAATTCATGCACAGGTAGGGTCCGGCCAGCCCGCCACCTAGTCAAACTCCCGGTTGAGGGGACAATTTGCATATTAACCTTTTATTATATAGGATTTTTCTGTTTTTAAACACAACATTTCTTTAAACTATAAAGTACCTAAGTCTAAACCTCAAGGTATAGTCTGCAAGCATTGTCAGCTAGTAAACAAATATTTTCTATGCAAAAGAACTCTGCCACTCTATACTTATCCCTATGAGAGTGAATACCTTCGGCAAACCTGTTGTTCCAGATGTGTAAAGAATATATAGTGGATGTTCCGAAAGAACAGGAACACAATCATGTGACTGTGCTTTTGCCATCTCTTCATCCCAATCAAGGTCACGACCTGGAGCCAAAGGAACTGTCTCCTACGGAGCAAAAAATTGTGAATAGGCATTGAACAAAGATTAAAATCAGAGAACAATGTTAGTCTGAGCATCTGACTTACAATCTAGGCTGTCTACATAGCACTAAATATCAGGTTTATAAACATCTCAGGTAAATGTTCATAAAAAGTCCAACAGTTGCCATTGGCTTTGAATCTGGGGCTAACCTTAAGAAACTCAATGTGATGCAGTCATGTTTTCATCAACAAAGCTTAACAACTAACAGAGGTTCATGTTTTCATAAATGTGTTTTTACTATTAACTTTATAAACTAATTTCTATTTTTGTAACCAATTTCTTTTCCTTTGGAACTATCATCTTTACAATCAAATGTCAACTAACCCGTTAAGATTTCTCTTTATACAAGGGTCATTTAGGAATAATATTGTGGCTGTCTTCCAAAATGAGAGAATATTAAATCCTTTTTAAGGGTAGGGGGGAAATCTACTTTTGCTTTTAAAAGAAGAAAAGTCAGTTTTGAAAATTAATGGGGGTATGTGACATATCTAAAATGCTATGCAGGTTTCCCTCCATCTATGTCATTGATGCACTTGGCAGAAATGTTTGAGTTTTTCTTTTTGTTCTTACAACCAAGCTCTGTGTTGTAAACTCTATGATATCAGAGTCATGAGTTGGACACATATACCTTAAAAGAAGGTAGGCAGACCTCTTTACAACTTGTGCTAGTGAAATAGGCCAGACAGGTGAAAAGTAAGGAAGTGGCTTATGGAAAAATTACCCTCGTGGAGAGTTACATCTATTTAAGTAGAGTTAAGACCCAGCACATGTCGAGTTATTTTCTGAAATGATAACTAAACTCAAGGTCAGGAAGCTTACAGTTGGTAAACTTGTTAGTATAGGCACAAGGCAAGGCTACACATTCCTTGGTGAAAGTTAGTAAGATCTGCCTAGAATATAGTAATCATCATTCATCAAGGTGAAGCTAAACCCAGAGACTATGAGAGATTTAGAAGAGCCAGGCCATCTCTGTTTTGGAGGGCTCCTTAGTGTATTCATCAGGGTTGTTAAATTGGTCATATTTTTAAATGCAAACATTTACGAATTAACACTTCAATATAACATCACAATTGCAATGCCTATATGAATAAACACACTGGTAAATAACAATTTGAATTGACTTCCATGAAGGTGAAGTTTTAGGCACCTCCAGCCTCACTTTGAAAAACCCTAGTATGCCACTTAGATAAGTGAAAATAGTTAACAGTGACCAAATTGTATATTTTTTCATTTGTTTTTATGCATCAAACATAACAAATTTCAAATTGTCAAGCTTTTGACATCATATTACAGAACTTTAAAAAAAAATCACAGCGCACAATTAAAAATTCCAACTGAGTCATCACAAAAATAATTATAAATCAAGTGAAATGAGGACTTGAATGAGTGGTTATTTTTCAGGCTAAGAACCACAGGCATGTGTGTAAAATAGATATGATAAAAGGAAGAGAGGAAAAATTCAACACTAGCTTTTACAGATATGCATTTACCTCTATACACAAGGCCTTCTTAGTTGTTAACATTCATAAAAGGCAATAATTGGGACAACAGTAGAGCTGACTGCTGGTATATTCTTTTAATTTGCTTTCCTGAGGCTTAGGAGGGTCAGCCAGGTTTTTATCTCCTCTGGCAAAAAAGCAAATCTGGTTAATGAAAGACTCCACTAAGCTTCAATTTGTGTCTCCCTAAAGTCAAAGTAAAGCCAGTCCATTGGGCTTAATTACTGCCTGCATAGCAGTTCTAATATGAAGAACAAGAGACATCCAAAGCCTTCATCTAAAATAAAGACATGTCAAAATTGAAAGAGGGGTCTTTAAAAAAAGGGAGAGGAAGAGAAAGGGAGACAGTTATGTATGGGAGGGGGAGAGGAAGAATGTATCTCATTAAGAGGAAAGAGATTTGCACTAGAAAAATCTGGTGTGTTATAAAATAAAAGAAATATGTTGGTTAAAAGTTATTTAACTGGAATTCAAATCTTGACTCCACCACCTTACTAGGTATGACTTTGGGCTATGATTTCTCCACAACTCACTTTCTTCATCTGCTACATGAGGCTAGTAATAGCATTTATGAGTTTGTGAGAATTAAATAAGAAGTATTTGAAAGTACTCAGCATCAGACCTGGCATAAGTTCTTTATAAATTCTACATGAATTCATACATGTGTGAATAGCACACACATACCCACATAAATGCTTGTGTGTGTGTGTGTGTGTGTGTGTGTGTGTGTGTGTGTGTGTATGCTCCTTCCCTTCTCTAATCTTCTCTCACCCAAAGACTTCTTTATTGCTGACATTGCATTCCCTGATTTAGAGCAACAAACCTTTTTTAAAAATATGCTTGAGGTCATCTGAAAGAAACTTAAAATTCTTCTTTGACACAGTAAGAATATTAAAATCATTGAGTGCAGCAATTCATGAGCCACCAACAACTAAAACTTTACACAGGAATTTAATGTAGTGAAGAGAATTGCTAGGTGGTAATCAAAATGACATAATTTTTACTGTTCTCTGTTCTTACATCTTATCATTTAAGCATTTTTTGCAGATAAGCTCTCAAGAGTTCCACAAAATTATACATGATCAATTCCACTCTAGCAATTTTTCTTATGCAAAGAAACCCAAGTTGGTCCTACTATAAATACCTGAATATGTGCTTGAATGCAAAAAGAAGGTCTAATTTACTAGGAAAAGCAATTGCAATATATATTCATTGATGTATTCTGCTGCTTTTTTTTTCCTTCATGGATCACAGAATAAGGTATCTTTTTAGAATATTCAAATATTGTTTTCCTAAATATAATTTTTACTTCTGAACTAAATACCTTTCTAAAGTTTTAAAAAATAATTTACATACAAAATGATCATACCTTTCCATAAGGCAGGATAGCTCAGGATAGGCAGGCAGTCAGAGTGCATGCATTCAGGTCATTACCCTGACACTAGCTGGGTATGTTTCTCTCTCTTCATCCAATTCCTTTTCTTTAAAATAAGAATAATGCTATCACCTAGTCCTAGGTCACAGTTACCCAGAGGATTTTTTAAATGATTCACTAGTAGAGTGTCTTAAAAATCATATGGTAGGCAGTCAGTATGTGTTACTAGCACTATTATTATGGCTATAATTTATATTAATAAATGATATCTCAGTAGACTATACAATCAATTCAATAATATTATAGCTATTTCTGTGTTTTCATCTTTTTATTTTAAGCTAGTTTGTTTTTTTTATAAAGAGAAAAAGTAACACTCATATCTAATATCTTTTTTTTGCCAAAAATAGAAAGTATATTCAGGAAGTATATTTAATAGTTCATAAATTAAAGGGTTTGTATGAAATGATGAAAACAAGAATCATCCTTAGCACTTGTTATAAGCAAGAACCAAATTCAATATTCAGATTACCATATTTGGACGATTATAAATGAGAACTTTATCTGGTTTGTGTTGTCCAATTCTCAGCGCTTCTTCTAGAAGTGGCATATATTCTACCTTCCTTCCAGGTTCAATGCCAAAGGATGCTGTAACCACCACCTTGGGCTACAATTAAAAATAAAAATAAAAAGCGAGAAAGCTTAACAACCCTAATTAAGGTGATCACAGTATTTCAGGTGCAGGCAAGCAGTTTAACATTGCTAAAGAAATGCTTGAATAATTTTGTTCTCTATTGACTAAATAAATGACCTAAAATCCAATAAGCCCCTTTTAAATGTTATAAACCTAACCACTTCCACATAAATCTCACTTACCTGTTCAAAATTACACGTCAACATGCTTTCAGCTACTAAGTATGAGCTGCAAAAATGCTTTCCAAAGAAGCCATCAGGCCAGTGGATTTGCCATGAACCAGTAAAATGCAAGCTTAGGGTCCCCTCACTTGCAGAGGCCCCATAACAGTTGGCTGTTGCTGAAGTTGGAGCATTTTCTTAGGTGGAGGGGGTAGAAGTGGGGGGGCAGCCCAGTTGCTATCAGGAAGTATTTTTAACTGGTTTTGTTTTGTTTTGTTTTTATGTAAGCACCTCTGCTTAAATGCCTAGAGACCACCAAAAGAAGGAAACCAAATCTCTGATAATTCCTTTATGATTCTTTTTCTCATTCTAAATACATATTCATTTTCTATAAATATTTGTAATTTTGTTGTATTGTTTTCTTAAAAGAGCCCCCAAATGATTTAGGCTTCAACCCCACAAAGCCAGATCCTGTCTCTGTCATTAAGACACATGCGACACTTTTCTTTACCTGACAACTTGCTAGTTATTGAAGATGTGCATAGATGGAGCCAATAGGCATGCCTGGAAGAGGCCGAAGTTAGGTGAATCTCCCTCCCTCAGTACACTCTGGGCAAGCCTCAGATGTCCGACTACGTCAGTGTTCTTTCATCCCCACCACTGGACAGGAAGCTCTCCTAGGCCACATGTGGGTCCCTTTCACCTCCTTGTCTGCTATGTCTGGCACAATGCTTGCCATACCATAAGCTCTGAATAAATATTTGTGGAGCTGAACCAAAACTCCCCTTAATTTACAAAAACAAACACGTCATTATTCTTTTACATACACTATTTCTTCACCAAGAAATCCAAAGCAAACAGATAATAAGTTATTCAGGAGACAGATAATCAATCGGAGATAGTGAACCTATTCCTGAATTCTAATTTCTGGTTACAACACATTTCATCTAGAGAAGGTTTATATTATGCCCAATATATGCATATACAGTACTTTCTGCTTTTTGAATATCATTTAATATTCACAGAGCTGAGGCTGCGTGCAGTTACATAGCTTGCCCCAGGTTATAAGTGGTGAAATGAGAGAGAGGCCCATTCTGTCTGATTCCGGAAATATTCTCTTTTTGCTACATCAAGCTGCCTTTAAAAGGAAAAAAAAAGTAAGTCTTATTTCCTTTTATTATATTTTTAAAGGTCAGACATTTGAATATAATTCACATTTTAATATCTTTACTACTTACAAAAATAACTCTAGATAACATTCCCTAAGATTAGAATTCTGAATAAATAAAAATTACACATCAAATTAAAAACATCTAGGATATATCAAAACTTGAATAATTTAATAAAGTCAAAATTAGACTCTCCCTCTACAAAAATAATCCTTTTTCACATTTCTATTAGTCTTTTATTGGAAGTTTTGGGACAGGATAGTAAGAAACTAAGAAAATTCCTTGGCAAGTGGAATGGGGAAACTGAGACATATAGCTGAACAACTGGCCAAGCAATGTACAGCCAGATAATAAATTGCAAGGGCAGACTTCCCTCAGTCCTGGTCCCTCTTTAGTGACATTCTTTGAAGGTGAAACTGACCAGAGAATAACCCTAATACACTCATTTTGATGAATCAGCATATTAAAGGACACATCTGGAAAGCTGATGAATAGTCTACTGAGATCCTCACCTGAGAGCTCCCCTAAAATTCCAGTCTTTAGAAAATAGATTAAACAAACTTTAAAACAAGGGACCCAGTGGGCACTTGATCTCTTGAACATGGCTACACCTTCTCTTCAGGCATGTATCTTTGCTTTCTCTCTCCTAAGCGCTAAGGGTCCCCAGGAGACTTGCAAGCAGGGAAGCAGTGGGTAGTGGCAGCTCGTCCCGAGCTAATCCCCTGAACCCATCTCCAAGGGCCTACTTTCTGACTCTGTTACTTGTTTCCTGAGGCCACATTTCTGCCTCTGTGACTTTCTTTCTAAAAGGCCAACGCATCTCTCTGAGCAACCCGCTCTAATCTTCTCTTCCAGGATACTTTTGCTTTGCATGCTAAATGAACTACCTCCTACACTCGAGTTCTTGGTTCTGAATTCTTTCTTTGCCAAACTCAAGAACTGAGAGCCACTAACAGTTGTATTTGGTCTTGACTGACTTATTGCAATATATTCTTACCATCTTCTGTTTAAAATATAACTTTTTCTTCAGCCTATTTATTTGAAAATCATGACATCAAAATCATCCCTGATTTCAACTATTAATTGTATCAAAATACCTCAGATATACATCTCTATCTCCATCTTCCTGCTTTTAATTTGACATGATTAAAAGTCTTACCTATAAAATAATGCATTTACTGCATAAAATTCTTAAAGTGTGGTGTGTGTGTGCGTGTGTGTGTGTGTGTGTGTGTGTGTGATAACAACTCCTCCACTGGTACAGCATACATTTTATAAATACTTATTTTTTATACATCTTAATTTCCCCACATCATATGAAATTTTACAAGAAGGAAAGAATACATCTCATACCTTTATCCAAATGGTGTTTAGACTTCTGCAGGTAAAAAACTGGAGTCTATACCTTCCTCAGAGAGGTCCCCACTGCCCACTGATTTGCAGGTCAGTGATTGACTGATATTTCCCTCTAGATTTCCCTTCATAAGCACTAACTCAACATGTTTAAAAAAGAGAGAGAGAAAGAGAAATCCAGCCAGTTAATCCACAAACCAGCTTCTAGTTCTAATAAATGATCTGTTCCAAATGAAGTCAGACATGCAAAACTTCACTGTATGCCTAGCACTCAGGGGACCTTCAATATATAGGGTGTCCCCAAAGTGTATACATACTTTGAGTAATTATAAAGGCAGTAGTTATTAAAAGACATTTCATTTTCAAAATGTAATAGAATATACAGACATTATGTGTATATTCCTTCCTTGTTAAGAATGTCTCATCTTGGGCTTATAAAACTCTAAGGCAGTGGTTCTCAACCTTCCTGATGCCGCGACCCTTTAATACAGTTCCTCATGTTGTGGTGACCCCCAACCATAAAATTATTTTCGTTTCTACTTCATAACTGTAATTTTGCTACTGTTAGGAATCATAATGTAAATATCTGATATGCAGGATGTATTGTCATTGTTACAAATTGAACATAATTAAAGTATAGTGATTAATCACAAAAACAATAAGTAATTATATATGTGTTTTCCGATGGTCTTAGGCGACCCCTGTGAAAGGGTTATTCGACCCCCAAAGGGGTCGTGACCCACAGGTTGAGAACCGCTGCTCTAAGGTAAATCATCTTTTACTCTTTATTTTTAAAAAAAGAATTTATTGTTTTTTAGAAAGAGAGGAAGGGAGAGGGAGAGAGTAAAATATCTATAGAGAGTGAAACAACAATCTGCCGTCTCCCACACACCCCACACTGGAGATGGAGCCCCAAACCTGGGCATGCACCCTTGACCAGGAATGGCACTGACAACCTCCTCGTGCACAGGACAATGCCCAAGCAACGGAGCCACATGCGCCAGGGCAATCATCTCTTAGTCATATAACAAACAACCTTCCTTTCTTCATCTCCCCACTGCCATTACTCGCCTGTACATTGCCCATTGCCTCACAAACAGACCACCTACCAAAGGTTCTTATTCCAACCTCTCACCTCTATCCCACTCATCATATGGAAGGACTTGCCTCCTCTTAACATTGCTTAAAATAGGACACTTGTCTACTCAAAACCTTTGACTAGACAAGGTTTACAGGATCCAGTTCAGACAGAAACTGCTTTTGCAAGGTCACCTCTGTCCCTCTTCAGTCACACTGGTCTATTCACTAGCCTCCAAATGAATTTTACGCTTTCTTACCTCTAATGCTAGACTTATATTGTTTTTCTCTCCTTTTGGATCCCATGAGGTCATTCTCTTCAACTAGCTGAATTTTAGCCAAGATCTAAGTACAATCTCACTTTCTTTGACCACCCAACTAAAAGAAATCTCACTTCTTTGACCATCCAACTGAAAGAAAGAAATCGGGGGTCTGCAAACTATGGTTGAGAGCCACACCTTGCCCACTGCTATGAGTTTTTCTACGTAGCATCTAAGACTGCTTTTGTGCTACAACAGAAGTGCTCAGTAGTTGCAACAGAAACCATGTGACCCACATGCTTAAAATGTTTACTATCTGTAACATACAAAAAAAAAAATTTCTGATCAATGCTCTCAATCAGCGGTTCTCAACCTTCTGGCCCTTTAAACACAGTTCCTCATGTTGTGACCCAACCATAAAATTATCTTCATTGCTACTTCATAACTGTAATGTTGCTACTGTTATGAATCGTAATGTAAATACCTGATATGCAGGATGGTCTTAGGCGACCCCTGTGAAAGGGTCGTTCGACCGCCAAAGGAGTCGCGACCCACAGGTTGAGAACCACTGCTCTAAATTAATAAAATAATAATAGCTAGGTTTATTTTATGAGTCCTCTATGTCAGGAACGCTTATCAAGTTTATTTAGCATCCAATTTAAACTTGCCACTCTACTCCTCACTGACACCCTCTCTTATCCTCCGTGCTGCCCCACCATTTCTGGAAGCATAGAGTATAAAACTAGTTATGTGTCCCCACCATTGGATAAGTATCATTTATTACCCTGCTCCAAGCATAGTACCAAGCACATAGTGGGAGCTTAATAAATATATGTTGAATAAATAAATTAGTTATTAGTTATTTTACTTGTCTTATACATCAAATATATGTCACACTAACTTATATTTTTATATTCCTCACTGTACCTAGCAAGATGCCTTTCATGTACTACTGACGCAAAAATAAAATTTTGATTAACAGATATATTCCAAAGAAAAAGTAAACTTTAGGGTATTCTGTATTAAAGGAGGACCTAATAAGTACAGATCACCCTTGGATGATTCATCCGCAGATATGGCTGTCCTGTACACACTACTGCCTGATTTCTCCAAATAAAGCACTTACCTTTGCATGATCAATGCGGGTACTTAGCTCTTTGGATGCAAATCCCCCAAATATGAGACTGTGGATGGCTCCTATCCGGGCGCACGCCAGCATGGTATAGATTGCCTGAGGGATCATGGGCATGTAGATAACCACAGTGTCACCTTTCTGGACACCATGCTTGACCAAAACACCAGCCAGCTTAGAGACCTGTAACACAATCATTAGATCAGCGAAGTGTTTTCTGTGTTCTTTTACTTAGAAGTTAAGTAGGTAACACAAGAAGATGATCGCCCTCTTGTTAGTGAATTAAAGAAGCCTGAGATCCATATTTGATGATGATGATGATGATTTAGATAGTGACAATAATAACAGACATCTGTATTATAACAATTGACTAAAAACCAGCTTACTATTATTACACCATATGAACTTCCTGGCTTAAATGGTTTAATTATTCATATAACAACATGTTTTCTGAGAAACTATTACATGTCGTATGTTGTATGCAGAATTGGGAACACGACATTGAAAAGCAAAGACAAATTTGTTCTGGTGGAGCTTTTATTCTAAAGGTAAATCAGTCACATGAATAGAAAATTAAAATGATTATAGATTTAGATATACGTTGGGTTAACTGTTGAAGAAAACAAGTATGTTTCATATGTTTTATGAAAGAAAACAAATCACTTATACACTTATAAGGTAAAAAGACAAAGTACATTATTATTATTATTTCTATTTTAAAGATAAGGTAACTGAGGCTCGGAGATAATAAATAGCTAATCAGAGGTGAGAGAGCTAGAAACTGGTGTAGCCAAGATATCATCACAGTTCTTTTGACTTCATGCTCTTGCCTCAGTCAATTATTTTTCTTCATAATTTTTATGCTAATTACCTATACAAAGTGACAGCCCTCTATTTTGAGAGCAAATATACAAATGTCTTTATTCTCTTAACGTGTATCTTGTAATTTCTAGTAATAAAAACAAAACAGATCATAAGTCCATACATGATATAATCTATTGCAAGAAACCTTTCCCTGGGCAATTACCTCCTGTGGGAGGTATGCCCAGACCTAATAGAATAAGACATTCACCTTTTCTTTATTTTAAAAATATATATTGAGTACCTATATATGCCAGACACTGTTTTTTGAAACATTAGTAATCAAAATTAGATAAAGGCCTCTATCCTCAGAGTGCTTATGTTTTAGCAAAAGAAATATTTATAATAAACATAAGTAAATTATGCATTGTGTTAAAGGTAGTCAGTGCTATTGAGTAGAGGGGAGTAGAGCAAAGTAGAGGGGATTGGAAGTGCAGGGGGGAAAATTCTCAATGGGACAAAAGAATAGACCTCACTAAGAAAGTGACATTTTAGCCAAGACATGTGGCAGGTTGAGAATAAGTGAACCTGTAAATCTACTATTTCAGGCAGAGAGAATACCAGTACAAAGGTGTCAGGGTGGGCAGATGTAATGACAAAAGGGAACAGCAGGGAGACTAGGGGATCTGGATCAGAAAAAAAAAAGGAAAAATATGGTTGCAGATCAGGTCAGACAGCTAACGGGCCTGCAGGGATCCGGCGGGTGACTGGGAGGAACATGTTATGTTCAAGATAATGAGCGGAGAAGGCCTGAAGGAAGTAGGCCACACGGCTATTTGTGGCTCCTTTCACTTCACTCGGCCGCTCCTACTTTTTGAACAAGTTTAAAGGGTCTGAATCCTGATCATTCTTAATTATTTTTTTCTTTCGATTTACTCCCTCTGTTCCGATGGGGAAAGATGCGGTCAAGGTTAAGAATGTTGGTGAAAGAAAGTAACAGCTATCTAAGCATCTTATTCTCCCCTACATTGCAAACTATAACTCAGTGCTACTTTTTAAGAACTCAGAGCTGCCCCATAGAAAGTTACAAGAAGGACACATGAAAATAATATAAGTTATGCACTGAAATTCTATGTGGAATTCAGAACCAAGATAAACACTGAAAAGTCATATCCAAACATCTGTGTGGAATCTCTGCAGAAAGTGGCCATGCTCCGTGATGATGTTATTTCGCTTCCCATTTAAGGCGCAGCAGCGGGAGAGACCAACAAGAAGGGCTTGTCCTATTTACAGCTATAACCTCAGCATCTCCATAGTGTCTGTTGATGAATAAAATATAATATTCAACAAGACTCAAGCTAGCAATAATTCAGCAACTTTATATTCCAGTTCCACTTCATAATGTTGTTGAAAGATGCCAACATTTTTTTCTGTTCTCTAAAAGAAGTAAAATAAATTCAAGACTGCCCTCGCCAGTTTGGCTCAGTGAATAGAGCATCCGCCCTGGGACTGAAGGGTCCCAGGTTTGATACTGGTCAAGGGCATCTACCTAGGTTGCAGGCTCGATCCCTGGCCTTGGTCCAGTCAGGGGTGGGAAGCAACCGATCACTGTGTCTCTCACATTGATGTTTCTCTGTGTGTGTCTCTCCCTCTCCCTTCTACTCTCTCTAGAAATCAATGGGAAAATATCCTCAGGTGAGGATTAACAAAACAAACAAACAAATAAATAAATAAATAAAATCAAGACCTTTTTTGAAAGAAAGATCTAAAACTGGACAAATGTTATTCCAAAATACATGTGAGCCAACATATTAAAATTAGACGGTTTCATATACAAACCCAGCTTTCTATTTTCTCTAGAAAAATTGGAACGTCTAACAACACTGGGTTCCTGCTCTTGAATGACAACAATCGATTGAACCTGCTCAGTTTGCCATACAGCTCACCATTCCCTGGGTCTATTTATCACGGAGCTTGCATTTTTCTCTCCGTTATGAATTTAAAATGTATTGTCTACATCCTGTTTATGTTATGTGCTTACACCAGACTTTCATAACCACAGAATAAGATATATGCCAATAATTGATTTTTCTCCCACCAACTTCTTCCATTTATATTGTCTGCTTGGCTCCTGTAGGCATGAGTTGTTAACCACTGCCCAGAAGACAACCCTTGTCAAATTAGGCTGCACCAGATCCCTATAACCGCTAGAGGGCGAGCATTTGGCCTAGTTTACCTTGCTTCTGGCAGCTAATCCTCAGTGTTTTGATATATTGCTAATCACATCACAGATGCGCTAAAGACAAAAGTTTTATACAATCAATAGAGTAAATTTATTTTGTGGTGCTTGTTAGGGGTAAATGTCACTCCAGGAAAATTATCTATTGTAACTTCTAAATTTAAAACATATATGTATATATATGAGAAAATGAATGGGAATATGTTTCTGATGAGACTTCTAGTAAAGAGGTTTATGAAAAATAAAACAGCTCACAGCAAGAAAAAAAAATAAATGGACATTGATTTAATTTAAAAATATTTAATGTTTCATTAAAAATATTCCTTATGAATATTAAATCAAGAGTTGGTTAATATGAGAGCCCCAAAGCAAAATGTTTAATAGTCTTGTCTCAGATGCAAATAAAATCATTTTGAAGATAAGCGTAGGCTACAGTGAGCGATATGAGGGAAAATCTAGAAATCCCAGTCACCTCGGAGTTCACAATAACTCAAATAAAGCGCTATGAAATTTTAACACAAAGGGCAATTTGATGATTGCTATTTCAGGGTTCGCCTTATTTTTACTGACTTTCAAATTAAAAAAAAATTATCAAGAGAAGAAAAATGGATATTATTTTTATTCAATGGCATCTATATTCTTATCGTACCATAGATGTCTCAGTATACAGATAATTTTTATTATTTTTCCAAAGGTAAAATATGTTCACGCATATCTTATATAAACTATTGTTTTTCAACTGAGGAAAAAGTTAAATCATCTGCAATTCACCCGATCCGTATTCACCTTTGCACCTTCTTAAATATGCGTTTTAATTTATCAACAACTCAATAGCTTTATGTCAGGCATACACCACTCAATTTGGTTTCTCTGCCGACATCAAAGACAGTGCATATCCCATGCAATCATGGCCAGGCTGTGCTCCTCTGCCAGAGTGAAGATAACGGAGCTGCGAAGGAAGGCTGGCGACACAAAACACACGGTATATTAATTTAGATACGACATTGCTCGCTTCTTTCCACTAAGAGTATGTGAAGTATCCTGTCACTGATTCCATTTTGTATATAGTATCTGCTCTGTGTCCTATACAAAGTCAAGTCTGCAGATGCAAAAATGAGGAAAACATGATCATTAAAGCAAATACATTCAGAGTCCAGGAGAAAAGAGTGTGGGCCCAAGAGGGGCCACGTATTCAACCTGACAAGCTCAGGAGAGGCCTGCATGGTGGCCTGCATGGTGGCCTTACAAACTCAGAGACCCCAACCACACAGGATGGTCTGAAATTAAAATGTCCCACCTAAAAGCGAGTCAAGCGGGTAATGAAAGTGGGTATTTTCCTAATTTTCCTTCTCCCACCTCCCTAATGTACCCCCAGTGAATTTCATGTAACCCTCCCTAGACAGGCTTCTTTGATTCTAGTGTGTAAAATAAGCAGTGAAACTGCCATTCTGGGGAGCATTTTCTCAATCCCTTGACATCTTGCTTCCTGGCAATTGTAGTCAGTTTGCCTCAAATAAACTCATAAAAATTCATGCAAGTTTGGATGTTTCTTATGTTGACAATAGCATACATAAATAGTAATGATAAAATAAGAAAATGCAACAACAGATATTCATGTAATGTAACATAGTATACTCATATATTTGTTTTACCTGCAAAGTAAAACTTTAAATTTTCTATAATAATTAAAGCATATTATGCAAATCCACTGAACAGCTGAACAGCGGAACGACCATCTGGATGAATGACTTTCCAGACAAAGTCGGGGCTGCGAAGGCCTACTCTTGCACAAATTTTGTGCATCGGGCCTCTAGTAGAATTATAAAGTAAAAACATACTAGTACAAATAATGAAAAAGATTTCAATAAAGTTTTTATTTATTCACTCTGTAAAATCTTCATCCAAAAGAAGCCTGTGGATTAGTATAATTTCATGAGCAAATGCCAATAACACAAATATAAACATTAGTGGAAACCAACCAAACACTATGTTCTAAAGCAGTGATGGTGAACTATGACACACGTGTCATAGGTGACATGCAAACTCATTTTTTGGTTGATTTTTCTTTGTTAAATGGCATTTAAATATATAAAATAAATATCAAAAGTATAAGCCTTTGTTTTACTATGCTTGCAAATATCAA